CCAGCAACATACCTTTCTGCTGGAACTGATGTCTCCGCAACCTTGAAACAAAATTGATTCGGAGCTTTTATCAAGCTATGTATCTGTAAACAATGCAATGTACTGTCGTCAGTATATTGCAGCATGGAAAGAGTTCCTTCAGTTCACCGTCTCCATATGAGTAATCAAGCGCCTATCTGTTGTGAGATAACAAGGTGTAGAGCTGGATGAAGACAGCAGGTCAAGTAGCATCAGAGGAGCAGGAAGGCTGACGTTTCGGGCCTAGACCCTTCTTCAGAAATCTATTCTGATCAAGTTTTCCAGCACTTAGCTTGTAATCTTGTATGCTCAAGTGTTTGTCTAAATACTACTAAAACGTTGTGATGGTTCCCACCTCTAGCAGCCTTTTGGCAGTGAGTTCCAGATAGCCAAGGTATTTCCTTAAATCTCTGTAAAGCACCTAACCCTTACCTTTTTAAATCTATGCCCCTGGTAATTGATCCTTCTAAGGGGAAAAGCTTATTTCTATCGAACCTATCTCGGCCCCCATGATTTTGTAGACCTCCAATCAGCCACACCCACCCCCCCACCCTGACCCCCACAATCCCCAGCCTTCTCTGCTGTAAGGAAAACTTCAATAGCCTATGTAGTCTCTCTTAGTAGCTGAAATGCTCCAGACATGGGCAACACCATAGTGAATATCCTCTGTACCCTCTCCAGTGCAGTCACTTCCTTCCTGTAGTATGGCAACCAGAACTGCACACAGTACTATAACTTGTAACCTAATCAGATGTCTGAGACAGCTTCTTCATAAGCTCCTAACTGTTGTAGAAAGTTTCTAACTAACGTATTCAGAAATAGTATTATACACCTCTGGAGCAGGTGGAACTTGAACCCAGGCCTCCAGGCTCAGCAGTAGGGAACTACCACTGCACCATAAATGCCCTATACCTAACTCTTTGTTTTCTATGTCTCAACTGATAAAGGCCAGCTAACTTGTATGCCACTTTAACTGCCCTATATCACAGGTCCTGTTACTTTCAAGGATCTATGTACTTTAAGCTCCTGCTGGTCTTGCCATTCGTCAGGTACTCCCATGCCTTGATGGAAGACTATGCATCAATTTACACTTTTCAAGACTAAGCTCTGTTAGCACTCATGTTTTAAAAAAAATCCTTCCACGTTTTACTGTCTAGCACTATTGAAACAGTTTGTTTTAGCCCCAGCATAAAGTGCTGTGTGGAAAGGTATCACAATGTTAACAAGTTAACAGATAGTGGAAAAAGAAAAAAATCTGGTATTTTTATACTTCCTTCTCTCGCCACCTCAGCTGGAGGGGTTTCCATGTAGGCACAAAAGGATTAAATAAGATAAATTTGCATTTCATGCCTTTCATGACCTCCCAACAATCCACGTGCTTTATAGCCAATGAAGTTCTTGTGCAGTGTAAGAGATGCACCAACCAGTTTATGCACAACACCATACCATGAACAGCAATGGGTATTAATTTGACAATTTTATTTGTGTTATAGATTGGGGAATCAACATTGCCCAACACCCTGCGGATAATTCCCCTAAGCTTCAAAATTGTGCTAAGCGATTTTGTTTTTAAGCGTCCACCTTAAGGGAGATCGTATTCCAATTTCATGTCTCATCTGATAGCGCTTGCCCTGACAGAGCACTGCTCTCTTGGGACTCCCTCAAAATCTTCAACATTACACTTGAAGCTGGAACGATGTTTGAATGGAAGAAAATGGATGTTTTAAAGTTGGATGATTTTTTTTTCCCCACAGAGAGATGGTATGGTCAAAATTAGAGATCTTTGATAGGTCACAGTGCAAGTTGGGGAAATTAAGTTAAAGATTTAAAAGATTATTCAATTCCGTCATGCCTAGAGTTGATGCTAAACTAGGGCGCTTTTAGCAGGAGCTGAATAAAATGGATTTATTTTTCCTATTGCTCAATTGGAGAGCCTTGTCTCATTTGTAACTTGATATCCAGGAAGTAGTATGGCAAAACAGATCATCATGAAATTAAAATAACTAAGAGTTACAGCTGCGTCTTGTTAGCTGCTGTGAGGTTAGTTTTTCCTCTGGTATTCTCTGGGGTACCAATTTTTGTCATACCCCAGAAAAGGTGGGAATTTGCAGCGGGATACAAAGGTTAAGTGATTTTGGAAAATTGAAATCCTCTTACTAATTTTTTTTTTAAATTCACTCATGGAATATGGGCAATGCTATCCCCCATCCCTGGTTGCCCTTGGATATAAGTGAGTGGCTTCTAGGTAATTTGCAATAGTAACGGAGTCTGAGAGTTTGGAGTCCCAGAAAGGCCAGAACAATTAAAGATGGCTGTTTCCTAAAGGGAAGAACATTAGAGTACAGTAGATGGGTTTTTATGACAATCTACAATGATCATCAGACTTTTTAAATTACAAATGTTTTATTGAATTTAAATTCCTGCATCCACTGTGATAGGAATTGAACCTGAGTCTGGATTTACTAGTCTAGGCTATTGCCTATGACACTAATTTAAACATAAATTCAGATTTGCAGTGCAAATATCCTGATGATGATAACTGGACATGTTAGAAGAGAATATGCTTAATAACTGTGCTAAGTCATCTAGTGATGAAAGAAGCAGCATAGAGACCTGCATTCAGCATGATAAAGAAAAGACAGGTGCAGATATTCTTGACCAGGGCAATGATAAGGGTTTTGGCAAATGCAGCTGTGGAAAAATTAAAAAAGTAGAAAGTCTTTGAGATGGGGAGAATCTGGAGCCACAAGCTAACTTGGGGTCAAATACATGTTGTAAACAGTCTAGCTCCATTCAAGGAAATTGCTGGTAAGGTGAACTAAAAACTGACTTCTCCATATTCTGACTCTCAATTGCAGGTATCTAGTCTTGTGCTATAGTGGGATGTTCCACTAGTTTGAACAAAATTAAGCTAAACTTGGCATAGTCCTGTTGGACTACAGGCTGGTGATGTTTTAACCTGAAGGTCGTGTGCTTCAGGCAAGGGGAGAGGTTGAGAAGGAGGATCCTTCATGATAACCTCAGCTGGTATTTGAATTCAGTCTGCACTGTTGGTGTCACTCTGGATCGCAAACAAGCCATTCGGCCAGCTGAGCTAACCGAACCCTTTCAAAGTTAAATATTTAACTACTTTTTTTTTAAAAAGAAGTGTTTGGAAACTTCTAGTGATGTTTTAAAATTAATACTTAATACTGATGACTTTGGTGAGACCTCTCGAGAGGGAGTTCGAGGCGTGACTAGAATGCATGTCTGACTACTGAAATGCTCTGTACTGAGCACACTTGTGAATGAAGACTTTCATGCCCAAGCTCATGAACACCTCCAAGTTTCCTCATAATGTCATATAATATACTTCCTTTATTTAAAGAGAAGTCAGAGCCCGTTTACTTAATCCTTTTTCTTCAGTTAGTTTTGGTCAGTTTCTGGTCATTAAAGTGGTTGAAATCTCCAATCTACTTGGAAAACCAGGATTGATAGCAAGCGTATTATGTGGTAGATGTTTAACTTTCTTAAAACTCTATAAGGTTGATAATCATTATTACAGGCCGTTCAGCCCATCATGTCTGTTGTTTTTCTTTAGGGAGCTGTCAGATTAGTTCCCCTGGATGCATTTTCCCATAACTCTGCAGATTTCTCCATTTCAAGTATTTATCATATTTCCTTTTGAATGTAACAATTAAAACTATTTCCATCATTGTTAATATCTGGAATACTGAAAACAATGTGTAAGTTCCTAGCTGTTAGTGAAATAATGGGTCTACATTTATACAAGAGTATAGCTCCTTTAAAGAAACTTTTTTGTATGTGGTATTATGGGATATTGTAGCAGACTTATCCTAGCATTCCAGATTTTCAGGTAGATTTAAATAAAACTTGTATTGTCTCTCTAATTTTGGTACTGAGTGAGTGCTTCTGACAGTAAATCTAACATCTTGATTTTTACTTTTCAAAAGATGGCTGCAAAGGATATTGCTCTTGTTCAAACAAAAGAAATTTCAATGCGGCCAGATGATGCCAACAGAGTATTTAAGGAGAAAGCAGCAGATTTTATTCCACTGCTTCAACAAGGTAAAGTTATATGTTTGGGGAGAGGACAAGAATTTTATTCAAAATGAATCAATCCTTTTCCTAAATCTATGCAATCTTCTACCTCTTCCTGAACTCGTGCACATCCTGGCTTCAGGTCTGTCTCATGGTCTGTTGGACAGTCAGATGTAATGTTTGCAACGATCAATGTGTCACAAAGTAAATTCAGAATTCGCCCCAAGCTGTGTGTAATACATACTTGCTGTATTGTTATACTGGCACCATTCCTTAATGGGTCATTGACTTCCACGTCAAATATTGGGAAGATTGAAGTCATTGTCTTTTGATTGTCCCAATCCCACTCCCCCCACCAACATGCACGCACGTGCACAGACGCTTCCTTATCAAGTGTTTCTATTCATGTCAATTTTTGTAGCTGAGTAAGATTGAATTGCAATCCGCTATTGCATTGCCACTAAAATTGTCTCGTACACTGCACAACTCTGACTTGCACTCGGTTCATCTGCCAAAAGTCTGATCGATGCCTGTGTTACCTTTACTTCATAATTCTCTGCTCTCCAGGTTGGTCATCTGTCTTCCACTTTAGACAAACTTGGGATCATCCAAAACTATATAACTTTACTACTTTGTGAATCCCATCCATACATCATCCTTGCAGTGGTTGCCTATCTGAAATATTTTAGGATCCTTTGTTTTTTTTTCAATCCCTCTGCAGCTTTATTGATCCCAATCTGTGTTTCCTCTTCCAGCCCTATGAGTGAAATCTCTGCACTCCTCGAATTCCTGACCTCCTGCACATCATTATTTTAATGGCTCCACCACTGGAGACCATGCTTTCAACTGACCTAGCCCTAAATATTTTCACCCTGCTCGGAGAAAAACCTATCTGTTTGGTAAAGTCATCTTTTTCCTGATTTCTCCTCTTGTGGCTTCGTGTCAAAGTCTGTTTTTTTTAATCGTTCTTGTTATGTGCTTTGTTATGTGCAGTAAGTTACTGTAAATTCAGCACTTCAATGTTCCAAGTTGGAGCAGTGTAAAAGTACAGTCATCTGAGGTTTTTGCAATAAGTTAGAAGGCTTCTAATAGATCAGATATTGAGACTATAGACAACATACTTCAGTGTCCAGCACTATTAATTTGAACTTGCAGAACACTCTTCATGTGATGGGCACTGTGAAACAAGATACAACATCTACAGCATCTCATGTGGTTGGAAGGATGGGTGACCAAAAGCTTGGTCAAAGATACAGTAGATTTCAGAACCGTCTTAAAGGAGGGAAGTAATATATGGGAGTTTAGGGAGGTTATTCAAGAGATTAGTGTATGGAAAGCTGAAGGGAAGATAGTCTAATTAAAATAAGAGATGCTCAAGAGGCGACAATTTAGAGGAAGTCAAAGTTCAGTGTGCTGGGCAGGGGGGTTGGCAGCTGCTGATGAATAAAGACAATGAGGAGAGAGGCCATGGAGGGATCTGAAAATGGCAAGGAGCAATTTAAAATTAGAGGATTATTGAGTCAAGAGTCCGTGTAAGTTAGAACATGGGCAGCAGAGTGCAAACAAACTGATAATCAGAATTAAAGGTTTTTTTTTGTATGTCGTATCATGTGCAGACACTAGTGTGAAGTGGACTTGCATTTTGCGTAAGATGTAGATTGAAATGGGAAGAATGCAATTGCCACTTACTACTTCACTATATAAACTGGAATGAACTAATTACCAGGAGGATAATGCAATCTTCAGAAATACAGGCTCTGGATTTATATATCATCTTTCACTTCCTAAAGACATCCCAACTAACTGAAGGATATTTCACATTTTTCTTCCATGTGTTGAGGACAAACTAGGTCTGTTTGGCCTGCATATTTAGGGGAGAACTTGTGTGCTCTTCATGAAGTAAATGTATTACTGATTTATTCTTTCAGTACTAGATTTTTCTGCCGTCTTTTGAAACTTACTTACTTCTGTTTTTAATATTTAAAAATCGAGATTATGTAGACTGGCAGGGAGACATTCAAAATATAAAGGTTTTTCTGAGGGCTGGCACTGGAGAGGTAGGAAGAATGGTTGCATTCCTGACAAAAATTCTAATGTTTTATTTATGGAGTATTGAATAGAGAAATAACATTTTTGGGAATGAAATGACTGCATGAGAAATGGGCACATCTGAGATTTGTGCTTGTACTGTTTGCAGCTACAATATGAACCTTTCTCATTCTGTCTTTTCTACAGGCCCAGTTGTTGCTTTGGAATTTGATGGCGATGGTGCAGTGGAGGCGTGTCAGAATACAGTCAATTCTGTGTTCAGTGCTTCGAAGGTAAAGTAATAAAGGACATATTGCAGCATTTCACTGTGGAGTATACCATTTGATGACTTTGCAATGCTCTTTGTTAGAAGTTGGGACTAAATTAACAACAAAATAAGTTTACAATGCTTCGCTATAAAGAGAATTTAATCAATGTACCAACACTTCTGAAAACCTAGCTTTTATTCAAAATATGATACTTATGCTAAAAGCATGCTGTTTTGAACATAAGGTAATGATTTGAACTGAGTATATCAAAGATCTAGTGGCTGACAATGTGTAGCGTTATTTAAACTTGCACTGCACTGTTAAAAGGAACAGAATGGAGGAGCAAAATTCACTTTTTTAGATCAAATCAATCCACCTGTCACTAATAATATTAATTCATATTTCTCGAATGCATTTGTTTGGCTCTTGATTCCATTTATCTTCATTGCAGTGTATTGGCCTGCTGTCAAGACTGTTGGTTGTTAAGTAGAGTTGCACAATGAGTTCCGCTTATTACCATGAGAGAGCTCTGCATCATTTTTCTTATTCTCAGCTTCCTCATTTTACTTTGCACAGTTATATTACTGTCTGCTCATCAGACAACTACAAGGTGTGGGTTTGAACACTCTACAGATGAATAACAAGTCAACAAGCAATTCATGTCAAACAGCTCAACTTGCTGTAACCGATGAGAATACATTCATGCAATGATGAAGACATGTTGAGGATACACCATAACCCCATAGAACAATGCTTCCACTAGTTGGAAGGAGTAGATAAACTACTGTCTGGGACTAGGGAATGTGCATCATTTGGAGTAAAGTTAAGATTAATTTCTACATGCAAAGGATGGAGGAAGGTTGTAACACTCCTCTGCAAACGACAGTTGATGTTTGGTCAGTTGATAATTTGCATTCTGAAATTGAGTTCTTGACCAAAGGTATTAAGAGATATGGGAGAAGGATGTTCAATTTATGGAATTAGTCACAGTTCAGTTGTGATCGCCTTGTATGGCGGAATGACGTGCAGCTGTTCCTGTGTTGTAGAACCTCAGCAGCAACTGCATGTGATGTCTGTTTTAACCTCCAGATGATGCCTTCCACCAGCTATTGTCCTAAGCCTTGAGTTTGCTCAACAGTTGATAACTTGGAGTCAGAGATGTACAGCACAGAAACAGACCCTTTGGTCCAACTCGTCCATGCCAACCAGATATCCTAGATAAATTTAGTTCCATTTGTCAGTATTTGGACCATATTCCCCCTATTCCTATTCATGCATCCTTCCAGATGCCTTTTAAATGTTGTAATTGTACCAACCTCCGCTACTTCCTCTGGCAGATGATTCCATACATGTGCCACCCTCTGCACGAAAAAGTTGCCCCTTGCATCCCTTTGCTCTCTCACCTTAAACCTATGCCCTCTGGTTTTTGACTCCCCTACCCAAAAGAAAAGACCTTGTCTATTCACCCTATCCATGCCCCTCATGATTTTATAAACCTCTATAAGGTCACCCCTCAGCCTTCAATGCTCCAGGAAAAATAGCCTTAGCCTATTCAGCCTCTCCCTAGAGCTTAAACCTTCCAATCTTGGCAACATCCTTGTAAATCTTTTCTGAACCCTTTCAAGTTTGACTATATCCTTCCAAAGCAGGGAGACCAGAATTGAAAACAGTATTCCAAAAGTGGCCTAACCAGTGTCCTGTACAGCCTCAACCTGATCTCCCAACTCCTATACTCAGTGCACTGTCCGATAAAGGCAAGCATAGCATATGCCTTCTTCACTATCCTCTCTACCTGCGACTCCACTTTTTCGATGAACTATGAACCTGCGCTCCAAGGTCTCCTTGTTCAGCAACACTCCCCAGGACCTTACCATTAAGTGTATAAATTCTGCTCTGATTTAGCTTTCCAAAATGCAGCACCTCACACAAATGTGCCCCGCCTAATGAAAAGATGTGCATTTCCAAGGACATTGAAGAAAGTCAGTACCAGTCCTGTGATCTGAGGTGTTGCTTCAGCAAGAGTGTTGACTTCGGCATTCCCTGCAATTGTTTTTCAATCTCTCGTGGGGTGTAGGTGTCTCTGGCTGACCAGCATTTATTGCCCATCCCTCGTACCTGTAGGTGTTGGTAAGCTACCTGCTTTAACTACTGCAGTTCATTTGCTATAGGTAGACCCACAATGCCCTTAGGGAGAGAATTCCAGGATTGTGACCTTGAAGAAATGGTAATGTATTTCCAAGTCAGGATGGTGAGTGGCTTGGACGGGATCTTGAAGGTGGTGGTTTTCCCATGAATCTGCTGCCCTTGTTTTTCCATTTGGGAGTGGTTCTGTGTTTGGAAGGTGCTAGGTAAGGATCTTTAGTGAATTTCTGCAGTGTACGTTGTAAATTGTGTACATTAATGTTACTGATCGTCATTAACAGAGGGAGTGGATGTAGTGCTAATCAAGTGGGCAGCTTCGTCCTGGATGGCCTCAAGTTTCTTAAGTATTGTTGGAGCTTCACCCATCTGGGGGAGACAGGGATTCCATCATGCTACTGACGTGTGGCTTGACAATGATAGACAGAATTCAAGGAATCAGGAGTTGAATTACTTGAAATATTTCCAGCCTCTAACCTGCTCCTGTAGCCACTGTATTTATATGGTGAGTTGAGTTGAATTGAGTTTTTGGCCAGTGGTAACCCCCTGGATGTTGAAAATGGGAATCCAGTGATGTCATGCCATTGAATGTCAAGGGGTGGTATTTGGATCATCTCTTATAGATGGTCATTGCCTGGCATTTGTGTAAGTGTGAATATAGTTTGCCACTTGTCAGCCCAAACCTGGATATTGTCCAGGTCATGTTGTATTTGAGCACGGACTGCTTTAGTATCTGAGGAATCGTAAATTGTGCCGAACTTTGTGCAATCTTCAGTGCACGTCCCCAGTATGACCAGGGGAATAGATTTAAGGCAAGTGGCAGAAGACTTGGAGGGAATGTGAGAAAACCCTTTCTTTCATTGAGGGTGGTGGGAATCTGAAAGTCACTGCCTTTGAGGCTGGTAGAGACAAAAAATCTCATAACATGGCCTACAAGACAAACATCCCCACTTCTGACCTTAGATAGTCATAGTCCTAAAGCATGGAAACAGACCCTTCAGTCCAACCAGTCCATGCTGAACATAATCCCAAACTAAATTAGTCCCATCTGCCTGCTCCTGGCCCATATCCCTCCAAACCTTTCCTATTCATGAACTTATCCAAATGTCTTGTAAACGTTGTAATTGTACCCACATCCACCACCTCCTCAAGAAGCTCATTCCACACATTAAACCATCATCTGATTTCCAAAAAAAAGTTGCCCCTCATGTCTATTTTTTTAAAATCTCTGTCTCCTCTCACCTTTCAAAATGTGCTCCCTGTCTTGAATTTCCCCATCCTAGGGAAAAGACAACTACCATGAACCCTACCTATACCCCTCATGATTTTATAAACTTCTACAAGGTCACCTCTCAACCTCCTACGTTCCAGTGAAAACAGTCCCAGCCTATCCAGCCTTTCTTTATAACTCAAAGCTTCCATACCTAGCAACATTCTGGTAAATCTCTTCTGAACCCTCTCCAGCTTAATGATATCCATCCTACAACCAGGCAACCAGAACTGGACACAGTATTCCAGCAGAGGCCTCACCAAAGTACAACCTCAACATGACTTCCCAACTCCTATACTCAAAGGACTGAGCAACGAAGGCAAGTGTGCCAAATGCCTTTTGAACCACCCTGTGTATATGTGATGCAAACTTCAAGAACTATGTACCTGAACCTCTAAGTCCCCTCTGTTCTATAGAACTATCCAAAGCCCTACCATTAATTGTATAAGTCCTGCCCCTGTTTGTTGTACCAAAATGCAATACCTCGCATTTATCCAGATTGAACTTCATCTGCCATTTTTCAGCCATTGACCCATTTCATCAAGATCCCTTTGTAATCTTAGAAAACCTGCTACTGTCTACTATGCCACCAATTTTTATGGTGGAGGGAACGTCATTAATGAAGCAGCTGAAGATAGTTGACCCTAGGACACTACTCTGAGGAACTCCTGCAGAGATGTCCTGGAGATGAGATAACTGACCTCCAACAGCCACAACCATCTTTGTATATGCCAAGTATAACTCCAACCAGCAGAGAGTTGCCTCCCAATTCCCACTGATTACAGTTTTTCTGAAGGGTCAAGGCCCGAAACGTCAGCTTTCCTGCACCTCTGATGCTGCTTGGCCTGCTGTGTTCATCCAGCTTTACACCTTGTTATCACAGTTTTGCTAGGGCTGGTTTACTTGTCATCAGTCTGCCTCAGGTTGGTCTTAGTCCATGCAATGTAGAAGTAGCCTTTAACTGACACAAAATATAGTGTGCCATGAGTTTAATTCACTTTGGGCTTTCATCAATCAATGTGAAGATTAAATGTTCCCTTTCCTCCATCGTCCTGGAGCTGCCATCATAATGACATTGGCCATTTATGTAAGTCAATAATTTCCAATTAACCTGTTTTCAGATGCCCTGTTGAGTATGTGTGTTGCCATGTCACAGTCATGGAGATTTACAGCACAGAAAAAGGCCTGTTGGTCTATCATGTCCCCACTGGATAAAACAACCACCTAACCATTCTAATCCCAATCTTCAGCATTTGACCCATAGCCTTGCAGGCCCTTGTATCGCAAGTGCACATCTAAATACTACTTAAATGTTATGAGGTTTTCTGTCTTTACTACTCTCAGGCAGTGAGTTCCAGATTCCCACCACCCTCTGGGTGAAAAAGTTTTTCCTCACATCTCCTATAAGTCTTCTGCCGTTGCCTTAAATCTATGCCCCCCTCCGGTCATTGATCCCTCGGTCAAGGGGAAAAGCTTCTTCCGGTCAACCCATCTATACTCCTAATAATTTTATACATCTCAATCATGTCCCTTCTCAATCTGCTCTGCTTCGAGGAAAACAACTCCATCTATACAATCTCTCCTTATGACTGAGAGTCTCCAGCCCAGGCAACATCCTTATCAATCTCTTCTGCAACCTCTACAGTGCTATCACATCTCTTCGATAATGAGGAATCCAGAACTGCATACAGTACTGTCACTGGCCTAAAGGTTTTGTATTGTTTCAGCATAAAAGTCATACTCTATTTTTATCATTGTGAGGGATAGGAGCATCTATCACTGTATTTCACCAGTTAGCCCTTTGCGTATCCTGGTAGACCTATTGGGATTTAATGTGAAATCCCAGAGTAATAAAACTCTGTTGTCAAGGAATAACCTTCTTGGCAAAAAGGACAATCACTAAGTTGAAAGCCAAAATAACAAGATTTATTGGGCCAAAATTAATTGACTAATCGTGGAACAACACGACTCCAGTTCAGTGTGTTGGCCTTTCTTTCCCATGGATCCCAGCACTTGGATCCTTTAGCCTGGTCTCTTGAGTCACCATGTCTTTCAATATTTTATCTTAAATATGACTTTAGTGTGTGTAGAAGTCTTTTTACATATTTTAAGACTTCCAACTTTCGTTTCCCATTAACCATTAAGGCTTCTAAAATGGTTTCCTAACAAATACTTTTCACTTTATGTTAAGGCCCAGTATGGAATTCAAATACTGATTTGGATTTCTTATGGGAAACACCAGCATGCGACAATTTCTTACAAATTACCTGTAACTAGCAACATCCTCCTTGTGCAAATGCTTACTCATTTAGTAAGTGTTTTACTCCTAACTAATTCTTCTTTTGTCAAAATGTTCACCTTTGGCAAATGTGAAAATCTTAGTAACATATGTGTACAGCTGGATGAACACAGCAGGCCAGGCAGCATCAGAGGAGCAGGAAAGCTGACGTTTCGGGTCTGGACCCTTCTTCAGAAATGGGGGAGGGGAGAGAAAGGGGGCTCTGAAATAAATAGAGGGGGAGGCGATGATAGAAGGTGAATAGAGGAGCAGATAGGTGGAGAGAAGACGGACATCCCTGCCTCCTTGACCTGTCCATCTTCTCTCCACCTATCTGCTCCTCTATCCACCTTCTATCACCACCCCTCTCTCTCTCCCTATTTATTTCAGAATCCCCTTCCCTTCCCCCATTTCTGAAGAAGGATCCAGACCCAAAACATCAGCTTTCCTGCTCTGATCCTGCCTGGCCTGCTGTGTTCGTCCAGCTCCACACTTTGTTATCGCAGACTCCAGCATTGGCAGTTCCTACTACCTCTTAGTAACATATATGGCTGTTTTTATCCGTAATAAAGGTAACTTTGTAACACTCAATACTCACCAGTTGTGCCAGTGCAACCAAGAATCTCAAATCAATGTCAACTACACTTGACCAATGGGGGAAATATTCCTCGCTTTTCAGGACAATATGATGCTCTGATAACACTCCTTGAACCAATCAGCTTGTCTACCTCCTGAATACTAACTGTAATTTTATATCTAAAATGGGTATCCTGGAAGATCTGGTACTCTGACCCCTTACTAACCATAACTTCAGCTTTTACTTCATAAAGTTACGTATAGAACCTGGTACCTAAACACTGCTAACAGGAGACAAGAAGTCAAAACACTTCATCTTGCAGGACTAAATGTAAGAAACAGTCTTGAAAAAAGATAACTATTTTTATATATCATGAGAAGAGGGTGCTGATTAGTTGGGTCATCGTTAACCTGTAGATGTAGCAAATACAGTTAACTCTCAATCTTGGTTCTCACACCAGTCAGTAAACTCTGATTTGTCAGGGTAGTTGTTGTGAGAATGTGGCAGAGATTTACAGTCTCCATGACTCTTTTCTTATCCCCCAATGCAAAAGTTGCAATATATGTAAAAATTCCTTTGCGCTACATAAAACAGAGTCCTGTGTCTTAAAATATTCAGCTTCTAATATGCAAATACAGTACAATGTGAACTTTGATCTTAAACTGGTTTTCACCGTAATTCTTGGCACAGCCCTGATTACTTAATAAATGTTGTCAAACAGCAGAATGACTTCTAATAGTGGACATAGTGTTCTGAACCTTGCAACATTGACAAGTTGAGCATGATGAATATGTTGTCCAATGCAAATTGTCAATGGGGTGTGTTGTTTGACAGACCTTCAAATTACAACTTTTTATCCCTAAAATAATGCACAAACAATTTGATAATCTTGAGCCACCTTAATTACACTAAAGTAACAGAGGTGATATCTAACAGACAGGTCAACAATAATTTTTTGGACTTGATATTCTTCCCTTGTTAATTCAGTTTAATCCAACTTAAAACTTCCAATAGAATGAATAATAGTGGACAGCTTTGCTTCTCAAGAAAGTTAGTCTCATTGATCCAATTTATGATTTGGAATTGTATACCTGCCCAGAAAAATCATATATGCAGACTTGCTCCTATACCTGGCTCCTCCTTCACAAATGCAGGGTCAAAACTACTACAGAAATCGATGAAAGCTGAATATATAGTGCATTTTGGAAAATATCAATGTGCTGTCTGGGAAGATGCACGACCCGATGAGGAGCCAAAAGGGATAAGCTCTTGAGCTTGATCTCCGACAAATGCTCAGTCATCGTACCTTGTTCAGCAGTGGATACATTACATTTAGCACTGGTCTCTAGATGAAGGAGGTAACATGTTAACCAGTATATGTCCTCCTGCTTGCTATCCCTGCTGGAAAGTATGGCATAAGTATGTGACAAATTTAAACCATGCACAGTATTTGAATATCTTGCTAATTCTCAATCCTCTTCATTTGTGAAAGGAAATTGTTTAATTTTGAAAGTAGCTATCCTTCAGTTTGTTGCTGATCATGTTCTATCATTGCACCTTAAGCATGTAAACTTACATTTTCCTTTGTTTCTGTTTGTTAAATAGGTCTTTGTTTCTGAAAGCAAGTCTTCAGCATCTCAAGATGTGGACAATTTCTATAACTATGCTGATATGCAGATGGGAATGTGAAAATGAATAATTGCAATATGTGAATATCTAACCGACCTATGGTTATGTTTCCAAATAAGTAGAACTTTTGAGATTGGACTACTGGAAATAGGCAGTATTTTGAAGCATGATTGGTTCTAGTTAAGATTGAACATCTCAAATGTAACATTGTTCCAACCGTCTTTGAAGTAATGTTAGTCTAATATATAACCAAAGCATTTTCAGCAGTTTTGTACAACTCTTTTAAAATCTTTGTTTTATTCTTTTGGTCTGTTCCACTGAAAATAATTTTAAAAAGCAAAGAATCCTTTGAAAGGAAGCAACAAGTTTCTGCAGAACTTTTTATTTGACATAATCACAGAATACTACAACACAGAACTGGCCAAATTGTTGGTTTAATGATTCTGACCTTCATAACTCTACCTATTAACTCCTGATTTGTTTTCTCCTTTTGGCTATTTTTTCCATGCAACCAAAAACCTGAGTTTCACTTCCTCCTGCACCACTACCACCCCCCCCCCCCCCCCCCCCCCCCCCCCCCCCCCCCCCCC